CCTTGAGCATCCTCCTTCCAGATGTGTGTCCTCTGAAAGGAGTCTTTGCTTCAGAAAAAACGCCTCCAAGCTTGGCTTCTCTTCCTCCTGGCGGCACGCTATTTCGAGCAGCTGCTTAGCAAGAGGAAGCTACCCGTGTCTTGGCAAGACGGAGGGCCTTTCAGGCCATCAAGTCCGCTTCTGACGTGTAACTGAGAAGCACTTGTTTACAGCTTGAAGAGGCGGTGATAAACCTGCTCCACTCGGGTCACACTGACCCGCAGCTGCCTATTTTTGTTCCTGCGTCCTGCCTTTCCATGTCACCCTTCGAGCTCTGGCAGGGACACAGCCCTTTTGGCAGTCACTGACAATCTTGTCCCAAAGTTTCGGATCAAAACATACTTGATATGTCTTGCAACTCCCACCCACCTCCTCCCTCCAAGGTCATCCGTGAAATCTGGTCAAGAGGAACTTTCTTTGACTTCATTGCAGGGGAGCAGGCAACACTTTACCCATCACTGACAACTTCTCTAAGAAAAGCAGGTATGTCATCGCCATAATCATCATCATCATTAAATCCTGTTTTTTTTCAGCACCATTCATGCTGAACAAAACTGGTGAAGGAAGATGAGTAGGATTGGGCAAGGTTAGCGCATGAAGAGGAGCCCACCAGAGAATACAGCAGGTGGGGCTAGGAAAGAATCTTCCCCAACACCCCGGGAAGCCACGGCTGCCGGTCAGAGCCAGCGATATCAGGATGGATAAACCGAAGCTCGGACTCAGCAGCATGTCCTCTAAGTTCTGACGTCCTAATGGAGACCACTCCACTTTTGCTTTGAGGATGCAAAGACGGTGCTTTGTTATAAATCAGTGGGACTTCTATTTGAAAGTGATGGGGTTCAAGGTGGCAAGACTCTTCCTGCTGGAGGCCCTGGAAAGGTACCGCTGGTCATACAAGACAGCTGGCCCTGGGCTAAGAGAGACAAGACGGATTCCTACATTCCATCAGATGGATCAGAGAAAAAGAAGGCTCTTTCCATTACAAGCTGAGCCACCCAAGAAGGGGAGCCCTCCCCAAAACAGGAGAACCAAGGCTGCTCCCACAAAGCGGCTTCCTCACAGTTAACTCCCATATGGCCCCAAAGACTTCCAAGAGTCACTGTGAGGCCATTTTACAATCAAAGAAGCTGCGCTATCAACTCCCGTTGAACCCAAAGTCCTTCCCCGGACGTTTCAGTGGTCTTCACAATGACTATGGACACTGACTGTCTCCAAACGTCCAGGTCAGACTGTCCCCAGAGCCTCCGACCATGGGAGTCTCCACAGAACCTGCCACTGGATCCTTTAAAGGGAAGACACTGAGGATTCAACTTGGAATCTTTAATCTGCAAAGCACATTCCCCCCTGCCCCTCTACCCTTGGGCCCTCAGAGCTGGGTGTATTCCTATAATTTTGGTTGATACCCCACTGCAGCTCAGGTGCCTAAAATTGACTGAGTATCTGAAGATGTTGGCGGTAAGAGCTCTCTAGAAGGGAGATGGCGGGTGCCAGAGGTTGGATGGATGGCGGTCCAAGATGCTTCAGTCGTGAATTTCCTGCGCTGGCAAGGGATCTGGCCCTCGCAGCCTTTGGTGGCCTTCAAACTGACAGTTCTCCAGGGCATATTCTAAACCTACTCGCAGACCTGCAGCTTCTGTGGTTCTCTGGGGAGAGCAGATCATTAGTAAAGCAGTGCAATTCTGCGTTTAAGCAATGCAAGCACGGTAGCATCGTCAGAGCAGTTAGCCCTCCGGGTGATGGTTCCTTCTTTCCATAGCTGTAATGTCTATTCATAAACACTCACACCCACACCCTCCCTGCACATGAACCTTTGGGAGAGATGCATCAATGCTACCAAATATTACGACAATCTCTGATGCTGGATCTCTTGGCACGGCTAAGAGATTCCAGCTCAGAGGCCTTCCTCCCTCAGCCTCACCAAAACAACTTTGCTATCAACCGCGTTTGTAACAAACAACTGTTATCTCTTGCAAGCATCAGCCGGAGCTGCCTGAGCTGGCCTTTGAAGGAGGAGGTGATTATTCCCAAATTTATTAACTGTTACCCTGCCAGCCACGTGTCCCAGATCAAATGACACCGCAGCTAACCATCACGCTCTACGATGCATGCGCATGTTATGATCCAGCCTCCTAATCCTGCAGCGCAAAGTCACCTGTTGTGTCTTGGAGAGCTCAGATAGCAACCAGTGTGTTAAATTTCAAGCTGCGGATGCGTCCATTCCGACCTTAATGGCATTTATTGGTTTATCGGTACTAAAAAGATTTGCCTGCCTTAATACAGTCCAGGAGGGAGTAAGCTGTCGCCTGCTTGTCTCATTCACACTTCACAGGGCTCCACAATGATATTCGGACAGTGAGGGCAGCCTGTAGGGCCCCCTCCCACCCACCCCCAAACCCCAAGGATCGTCAAGCTGGCATAATGGTCAAAGAGAAGGTGCTCCCAGTATGAAATCTTCCTCTTCAAAAATGTGGGGGTGATGGGGATTAAATGTCGGTGCCGAGAGGAATAAATGGTTCTCGTTGGTTGACACAAATGTAAATCTCATTGACTTGCAAAGGCCTTCTCTTGGGAGGGGGTGGGTGCTAAAACTGCATTTACCTCCCCCCAGCTTTATCTCTCATTGGACGAGGCACACAGCCCGCCCAACAACCTGAGCGTAACACTAGGGCGCAGTGAGATGTGAGAACGCTAAACACTGCTCTCCTGAGAGTTCCTTCCGAGCGCGACCCTGCCACTTCAGTAATTTCTCTCCCATTCCTACATACAGTTGGTGGCAGAAAAGATCCTGGCTAGGCACCAAACATTTTTCTTCCAGCCTTACTCATCATGTTACAGATACTCCCAATTTCTCTTCCCTGTGTTGAAACACCCTACCCAAAAGGGGAAAAAGGGGGAGGCACCAACCGTTGGTAGTTTTTTCCCTCATCCACAAGAGTGAAACGACCAACAGTTTTTTCATCAATAACAACTTTAACAAAAACAAAACAAAACATGCAAAAACCTAACCTCAGCTGCAAGAATGGAAGAAAAAGGGAAGATTTACATCCTTACGCTATGTCAAGTCAAGACTTGAAGGCTTGTATGAAGGCACTGCAGATCTCCTTATAAGAGTAGCAAAGCAACTCCAGATGTAGTTCAACGGCATTTCCTACAACTCAATAAGTATAGCTACCAAGAGGGCTCCTACCCCTGGAAGGCTACCAGTTGCCCACTCCAGCCATTTAAAATGTGTACAGGGCCTCTTTCACTGCAAGGACCAAATTCAATTTCTAATGTGTTCTCGGAACTACATGCTATTGGTGTAGGGTGACCACATTGAAGGGTGGGTCCCAAACCTCCAGTGTTATGCTCATTTCAAGCTCCCACTGCCAGTAACGATGGCTCAGGAGAGACTTCTCAACCTTTCCAAAGGGGAAAAGGAGCCCACGCAAAAGCTCGGGGAGTATCATGGAGTCTGACTACCTAGAAGGCCTGAGGACCTGAAGAAGTCCCCTACCTCTGCCTCACAAGGCAAGCTCTTCACAAAGGACAGACCAAGAAGGAGGCTGATCTTTCTGATCTGAGGCCATTCTTCTGAACGCTCCCCTGTTGTGGGAAAGCTCCTGATCTCACCCTTGCCAGCTCAGGTGATCACAACTAAATAATGTGCCAATTGATCAAGACTGGAATCAGAAATTGAGCAACCATCATTGAGCAACAGATGTTGAGCAAACTCTTTATCAGAAGTTTCTCCCCCTTCCACCAACTTGTGACGACCAGAAACTTGGAAACATGCACCCAGCTGGGATGGGGGTGGGGGAAAAAAACCCCGATTGATGGTCTCTCTCTTCCCATCACTCCAGTTCCTGCGCTACCTCCAGCTCCAGTTTTTCTTAATGGGAGAGCCAGTGCAGAGGAGAAAATCTTCTCGATGGTGTTGCCATAAATTTCATGCTGGAAGAGTTCCAGGGAGTTAGAGAGTTGGCCAGAGCTTTTCTCGGGCTCTCCTCTCTGAGATCAGCACATGGGAGTGCCAAACCAGGGTTGGCTTCCTTGCTTTCACCACCATCAAGGGAATGAAGAGAAGTTACTTCTTGGGAGTACAGCTCCAGAACCCCCAACTTCCTGTGCTGGCTTCAGTATTTAGAGAGCTGTACACTCCCAAGAAGAACTTTTTGCAAGCTCTGGTTTGGATTGGGAGAAGCTGCAGCTGCACCGTTTCCACCCAGGACTGTCCTACCAGACAGTTTGGACCGTCTGAGTCTTCTGATTCCTTTCCCAGCAAAGCTCCTGCAATGGAAAAGTGGACCGGAGAGATGATGATGGAGGAGGTGGGCTAAAGGCACAAAAGGACTGGATTTCCTCTGCACAACTCCTTTGCCCTTGCTCCCATCATCTTCACTCAACAGTCCCACCGCACCATACAGAGCCACCAGTCTGAGATGTATTCAGATGTGAGCAGCTCAAGCTGAAGGCCAACACTGGAGTACATCAAGAAGAGGAAGAACTACAGAGTTGTATCCCGATTTACCCATTATTGTTTGACTTACAGTACATCCCACCTTTTTCCCAGGAACTGGGAGTCAAGGTGCCTTTCAGCATCATGAACAGATAAAATCAAGTACGGTTAAAAGCAACAAACCTGAAAACTATCAATTGTACAACACAACGAAGAAATCATGTTGTTGTTACTGCATACCCAACAACGTGCTAGCTGGATGGGGGGAAGCTGTAGTTTGCATGATTGTGTTGTGACCTGCCTAAAGAGTACTATGGGGTGGTATACAAGTCTAAACAACAACAACAACACAGTTGCCCTCTTTTTTTTTTTTTTTTTTTTTGGCTGAACAAGATTTTGGCTTATTACGTTAACACTTCCAAACATGCTCAGTCTTTCCAGGAACCTTGAACAGCCCTGCAATCGTGCAAATACAAGACAAGTCCAGGCAGTTTGGATGGTCCCAACTGCCAGAATAACTTACCGGTGTGTGTCTGCCGATGGGTCTCCAAGGCCTCTTCTTTAGAGAACTGTGCACCGCAGTGATCGCAGACGAAGGCTTTGGCACCCGCTGGAACGAGGGGGAGGGGAAAAAAAGAAGTTGGGAGAATGTTATTAAAATCATACATACCCAAAACAAGAGATAAAGCTTTGAAACATCTGTCTGAAGTCAACACAACAAAGGGCACCCATGGCAAAAATAAACAAAAGATGTCTCTTTTTTTAACATGGAGGCCAGGATCGTATCAATGGTGGCCAACTGATGCGGTGCCAGGCCATTTCTTATTCACGTGCTTGGTCATGCACTTGACTGCGCAACTCAGGTGGATCCTAGCACATCATTTCAGCTGCAGCAAGTTCATGCAATCCAAGGTGAACCCTCATCGGATTCTGGCCAGGGGCTCTCAACCACATTCAGAGCTGAAGCACAGAGCTCTACAGCAGTGGTCTCCAACCTTGGGCCTCCAGATGTTCCTGTACTACAATTCCCAGAGGCCTTCACCACCACCTCTGCTGGCCAGGATTTCTGGGAGTTGAAGTCCAAGAACATCTGGAGGCCCAAGGTTGGGGACCACTGCTGCACTCGGAAGAAATCACACCAATGTGTTTGCAGGAGGCAACTCGCGAGCAAGGCACCTGGCACCAGCCCCTTTCCCAGGATGGCGCTACATCCTCTCCGAGGACATGTTCTGTCAGAGAATCCCCCAACTTTTGGCAGTGTTCTTGATTCAAGGAGTGGTTTGGTCCGAGGTTAAAACATAATGAACTGAAATTACCCTTCCTGCCGTTGTTATTGGGGAAGGAACTCATTGCAAGTAACTATTGGAAAGTAGTTAAACTCAAAGTCTGCTCAAAATAACAGAATTTTAATAAAATATTGTGGATCTCTTGGAAACACATACTGGAGAAGGTATGTTGACCTAGGTCAGATCAACCTTGATGTTATTGGACTAAAACTCCCAGGTATAGGAGATGTTCAAGCAGTGGCTTACAAACTGTTAGCAACCAGTGAGAACTCATGGCTGACTGGGAATTTGAACCCATGTCTCCGATGCCCTAGTCCAGTGGTTCCCAACTTTGGGTCCCCAGATGTTCTTCAACTGCAACTCCCAGAAATCCTGGCCAGTACAGCAAGTGGTGAAGGCTTCTGGGAGTTGTAGTCCAAAAACATCTGGGGACCCCAATTTGGCAACCACTGGTCTAGGTGTACTTCTGGTGTAATCCAGAGTTTGGAAGGTAATAAAATATTCTGAACCAACTCTACAACAGCAGCTGTGCTTTGATGGGGCCGGTAGTCCTGAAAAAAGTAACACCCAAGCTCTGTGACCCAGCAGAGCAGTTGTGATGCCCAGATTCAGGGCAGGCACCATCATGAAGAGATGCGACGGATGATCTCCCCCATGTTCGAGATGGTGGTAAAACAGATGATGAAAAACAAATGTTGCTTTTCCACCGCAAGAAAATCAGCCGTTTGTTTAAAGAGCATCATAGTGTCAGTGTCTTATCAGAGTGGTAACTAATCTCATTTTAATTGCCTCCCACCCTACCACAGCACATTCCCTAATTGTAATATGTACTGTCTTCCCGGGGAAGAGGAGACCGAGAAAGATTCTGACACCATCAGATAAGAAAAGTGGCAGAAACGAGGCAGGGCGCCCAAAGTCATAGATATTTCCACAACTATCAGCGAGGTTTGGTATTTGTGGTATTTCTTAGAAAATTGCTACCAACACACACGGGCGTCTGTTGGGTCACAGGCTCTGGTTATAATGAGGGAAACAAGCGTGCACAGGATGTCTAAACAGAAGATAAGTAACTTGGAGATAAAAATAGACCTTGCGATCGAGACACAAGTGCTGCTCTCTCTAAGCATATGCTGCGAGGCCAAAGCTGTGAACAGAACGGCGAGATTCGGAAGTTTGATTCATCTGTTCCAAGAAACTGCGAAAGCACGGGATTCGGGGAGGACGAAATAACCTTGATTGTCCTTTCGGAAAGGCGGGAGAGGAAAACGGGGCGGGGGGGTGGAGGAGGAAAAAGAGGAAGCCCCAACGCGACCAAAGTAAAAATAAAAATAAAGGCCGGAGTGCCAGAACTTAGAAGGAGTGTGTTTCGCTGGAGACAGAAGGAGCACTTGTGGTCCTTCAGAGGCCGTTGGACTCCAGCTCCCATCAGCTTCCGCCCGCCCAGTTGACAGCAAGAGATGATGGAGAATGGCACTCCACCAACATCAGGAGAGCTACACCCTTACCTGTCTACTAGGCCTGAAGAACGTCTAGGCGAAGCAAGAGAGAGGGGACCGAGAAATGTCTTTGTTCACACAGCACTGTGTCAATCATGGGAACAGGAATGGATGACCTATTTTCCTTTGAACGGCGAAGCTGGAAGGGACGGCCTGGATCACCGAGTCCAGCCCTGTCAAGTAGGCCCAGTGGAGGAATCGAACTCCCAACCTCTGGCTCCACAGCCAGAAGCCTCAACCACGGACCTATCCAGCACATGGCCCAGCCCACCCTTTTCTGTCATGCCTCCTGCCACTGGTGGTTGGAAGCGCCCCAAATGTGCCAATCCGAAGGGGGAAAGTGTAATTTGCTGATTTATGGAAAGAATAATCGGGGTGCCCTGCATTAAAAGCTCCACATGAGCTTCATTTTGCATTCCATGTATGCCCCAAGTCTCCAGAAGACTTTTGTGGGTTGGACTAGAATCAGGGAGCCCAGTGTTTGAGGAAATTCCTTTTTTGGACTACAGTGCCCAGAATCCCCATTAGGAGTAGTTGACTGAAAAAGTAACATTCCCAGGCATTGGTTTATAATTTGGTCCAGAAATGGTTATGCTGTAGTCTGCAGGTTGAGTCCAGTCAGTGGTGGATCATACATGGCGGGTTGGGGGACTGTTTTGAATGGGGTCCATTGTGAAATCAGGACAAGGTGGGAGCGTCTTCCAGAATCTGCCGAGTACTGGAAGGTATGCTCACTTCTTTTCCGCTTCTGCCCAGTTGTTGTAAAGTAAACCCCGTCTCTAAGCTCAGACCATCATTTGCCCACTCAGTGGGGGGGCACACACAAAGCAAGCACAGAAACAATCCGAGGTGCCCCCGTTTTTCTCCGTGAAAAACAATCCCTCTGCCTTTAAATTGTCTCAGTAACGGCTGGCTCACAGGCAGAAATATTTGGCAGCAGTGAAATTAAAAGTGATAAATTTTCTCGCCAAGTTTGATCGATAATAGAGGTCTCATCTGTTAATCAATAAGACAGTCTGCCTGTTTACTGTGCATACGCCGTGCGCGACGGCTTTCGGGGGCGATGTCAAGTTTGCATTCAAAACAACTCAAGTGTGCCTAAATGAAATGGCCAGTCCCTAAAAAGAGAGACGGAACGGGAGGCCAGGACAGCCGGTCGGAGGGGGTGGGCGAAAGGGACACAAACACAACTCCTCAAAAAGAGAGACCGGGCATCTGTGTTTTGGTTGGTCCCAAAGAGCCATGTTATTTGAGACATATACAGATTTTTTAAATCTGGGAAGGGGACATTCTGGAGGCAGCCCAAATGGGACGATGGGAAATTGATCCAAAGCTGCCGGGCCAAGGCGCTCAGCCAAGGAAGAAGGAAAGGAGGGGCAGGATGCCAAACGGTCTGCCCCTCTGCCCCCTCCTCACGTTGCCTTCTCCCCCTCACTCTCCTTCCCACTGCCAAAGCCCTTCTTAAATAATAAACACGCCGTTATTACCCACATAATGAGAAAGGTCAGGTCTATTTGAGAACGGTTACAGGCTGTCACGCCAGAAGCTGTTCAGGGGAATGTTTTGTTCCAGAACCGTTGACCTAAAAGGCCAGGATGGCGAGCCGGTTGGTACCTGAAGAGCTTCGGACGAGGGTCAGAAAAGGGGGTGGATTGAAAGGTTGATCTTGGCTCGGTACGTTTTGTGGGCCAAGCTGGGCCAGCAGGGAAGGAGGAGAAAAGGAGAGGAACGGGGAATTTCCAATGTACCCAAATTCTTGGCGACTTCCTCTATGGAAAGATATGAAGACTTGAAAGGCTGGTGCTGGCTGTGGACACAGCTTTCAAGATGAATGCCGGATAGGCTAAAACCTGCTCAGAGGAAGGGTAGCCATTGGTAGGCTCCGTGAGCACATCTTGGAGAGGTTTGCTTTCTTTCTTGACAAAGGGTCTTGTGGAATCTTGAAAAGGAGCATGTTTGATGTGGCTTAAACTCTGTGGGCTGCCTGTAGCCCCTTCTTCAGATGCATGGCTGGTAGATTTACAGACAGAACAATAGGTTGTGGTCCCTGAAATAAACCTGCCCCTCTTTGAGATTTTTTAATTGGTTTTGCTGTGACAGCTACTGTTTTGGTCTACACAGCCCAGAATTCCCCTAGCGGCATGCCTGCTGGCCATGCAAAGGCCTCTGGGAGTTGTAGTCCAAGAGCCCTTTTCACAGTTGCACCAAGAACACCCATCTTTCCAAGCACTTAAATAACTAGATACTTGGGATCCTGGTTGCAGGTGACGAAAGCTCTGTAACTCGGCCTGTGTTTCCTACTGCCTGTCTTTAACAGCAGGAGCAGCACATTGTATTTGGAACCCAGATTCAGGATCCAACATCTCCTGGGATTCCCGTTTGCATGAGTTGGACTCTTCTTGCTCGCTGCATCATGCTTTGAAAGAGCGTCAAGGCAGAGGAAGACGAGGCAGAGATGACAGACTAGAGCAGAAGCAGGTAGTCTGGGATTGGCAGAGAGTGTCTTCTGCAGATCTGAATGAACAGATGCAGCTCCACAGTAGCGCAGACAACACTGCAGTCCTGACCCAGGGGCCCACAACGGTTTCACTCCAAATACCAAAGTCGAGGAACCTGTGGTCCCATCAGGTCACATGCCAGAGATAAGCATCACTGGAGGGCTTGACACCCCAAAGTGTGAAAGGCTGGAGTCACCAAGGTCTGGGACTCAGGATCTCTGTCCAATGGGGGTGTCCCCCGAGACGAGTGCCAGCTATGAGCTCCACCATCATCCATTCCTGCATGGTGGGAAGCATTCAGCTTCTAGGAGAAGGGAGGCGTGCTGAGCT